TTTCAGGGGCGTATTTATCGGGACCATATGAAGGAGGGTAGTAACATTACTGCCTGATTGCTGAAGGTACTTCAGGAGGGTAGAAACAAAGAATGCAGATGGAGACATTGAAATTGTAGTGTTAGAATAAGCTGGAAGCTGAAGTGATAAAAACAGTGGTAAGTAGTTCAAAATAACTTGGTCAGTAACATACATTTGAAAAGAAGTCCCACAAGCATAGAGCTTCGAAAGCTACTGCTTCCCATCCTTGTCACAAGCCCTGCCCTACAAATGTCTGTGATTCTCCTTCTGGTCCAGGAGCCATCCTCTGACATCAGCTGCTCCTGCTCCGAAAGGATTCTCTCACTCCCAGTGAGCTTTCAAAGCCTCCTTTGTGCTCCTGCTCTGCTCTGTTCCACTTTTCCTTCCAGCTTCCTGATAGTTTTAAAGGTAAAACCCTCTTGAAATGAAGGTTCAGGTATGACTCTAGGGTGTGATACAGCACGGGAGCTGTTTTGATGGAAGTCACATTAACTTTTAACAGCTAATGGTTTAAAGAGCCTGAGTCTTAATAGGAACAGCTAATTGATACATTTATTGGGCATTTATTATATGTTAGATGCTTTATATTTATCCCCTAATTTGATTATCCCAGTGACCTGAAGAGCTGGGTACAATTTTTTAACCCTCACTCTACTGATGAGGGAACTGACATGGCTCAGAGGGGTTAAGGCACATGCTGGAGGTTAATACAGCTAGTAGGTGGCAGAACTGGGACCGGAACTAGGTTCGTGTGTGTCTAAAAACCATGCTCTTCACCATTATGTTATACTGGATGCAGTATGATGTAATTGGGAAAAGCAAAGACACAAAACCATGCTCTTAGCCATTATATTACACAGGATGCAGCATGACATAATTGAGAAAAGCATGTTTTGTTTTACTTTTTTAATCTGAAAGATGTGGGCTCCGAATCTTGGCTACCACCTACTATTACTATCTGACTTCAAAGCTTTGCCTGATCTGAGCCCTGCCTAGCATCTAATCTTTTCTCTCATCTCTCTAAAGTCATACACATCAGACTCAAGTTCCACAAGCTTTCCCTTGGCTCCTTAGCAAGCTCTTTCCGTTCTTAAGGAGCTCTGCAAATATTGTTCCATCTGGAATGTTGTCACCTGCCTAACTCTGACTCATGTCTTCATTCCCATCTTTCAGCATTTCCTCAGAGACACCTTTCATCTAATCCCCAATCTAAATAAAGCACCTCTTGTTATAATTTGATAGCACTTTGATAATTTCACTCATAGCACGTTATTTACAACATTTGTATTATATATTTGCACATTTCATTTCTGTGTCATCCCACTAAGCCAGGGATCCACAAACTCTGGCCCAGTACTGCTTGTTCCATTTTTGTCAGTAAAGTTTTATTCAGACTGGCTCACAAGGTCAAAAATATCTGCTTTCTGGCCCTTTATAGGAGAAGTTTGTTGACTTCTGTGGCAGATGATAAACTGTATGAGATTTGTCTGGTTTACCATGAATACTTAATGTCAGGCACGCTGCAATCTAATACTATTTGTTGATTTAATAAATAAATGAGCTATTCAACTATAAATGAAATAATACATATGTAATTCTTGGTGCATGTTGCTTTTATTAAGCTGACTGAAAATTTCTTTAAGATTAATTAAAAATTTATGATTTTATTTATTTTTACATACTGGCTTAAGAAATCCATCCAGTTTAAGTGAGAAATTGAGAAATAAGTAGTTTTCATAAACTCAGAAACTCTGGACAAATTTTGAATAAAAAGAGCTGTTAATTTTTTCCTTCTCTTAAACTATTATATGTATACACCTGGAGTTTCTGAATTTTAGTTGTTCTCCCTACTTCCATTATGAAAGGCAGAGGAAGGATAAAATTCAATTTAAATAGTTAGCTGCTCTGTTTTATAGCAATGTTAATTCTTGATGATATTCAACTTACACATCAGCTTTATAATATTTCATTTCACACTTTTATGCCTCTCTTTCTTATTCTGTAAAAACACATCCTGTTTTCTGTATAGCTAAATAAACACCTGCAAAGGCAGAGCAGGCTTTTACTACTTCTTAAGAAAAGATGACAGCGAACCATTGTGTGAGGTTCTATTAGGGAGTCTGCAGTGGGGGAAGCTTCAAAAGAGCAAAACAGTTACCATTTTTCTTTTCAACACATGAACACATAGTTTAAAGGAAGCCCAGGCCAGGGGTGCCTCCGCACTTGGGATGATTTGTTCCTGCAGATTTGTTAGTGTTGATTATAAGTGACCTACATCTTTCAGGCTCTCAGGACTGCTCTTGTAGTAGGTGAGTGGTACACATAACAAACATGTATAAGTAAGATGGATGTTGGAGACTGTCAATAGCCATCTAAAATAATCACTGAAATACACACTAAAACATGGCAGTTTTCAATTTTACCAATTTGATTTAAGAGTATGAGTGAAGGGCCTGCTGTACCTCAAGTGTGGAGAAGACTACATAGATCCTAAATTTCTATAGAATAAAATCAAGGAATTCATCATCAGGATTAAAAAAAATTATGACTGAACTGAATTTAAACAATTTTTCTTCTAAAACTATTAAGACTTCTGACATGGATGAGAGTAACAGCAATTGTAGACACAGCCATATTTAAATTAAGAAAAGATGTTCAATTGTTAGTTCAAAAGTATGTGCTAAAATTCTTGCATCTTGTGTGAATTTTATGTTCCTTTATAAAGCATAATGAAAACTCCATGAATTCAACCTACAAAAATTTTCTTCTGTCTTTGTAAGCAAAAGGAAGATACAATGAATTTCATGAAACTAAAAATTACCTGGCATTATTAATGAAATGTAGGTACTAATTCATATAATTTCTGACTATACTCCAAATGGATTTTAGTCCAAATAACAGTCTAAAGAGTCAACGGTACATGGTGTTCAATATTTCGATCTTAATTTCAAGTTGTAAGCCAGCTAAAAAATACTGTGGTTTTATATTGACAGAATTGCTATTTTTGGCTTGACCCATAGCAATAAACAACATGTAGGAAAACAATGAAGAAATCCATCATAAACCTTTATTTATCCTTTAACTCAATTTTCAGCCAAAAATAGTTCAAGTCATATGTACCTTAAATACAATAATTTAAATTTACAAAAATTTAAATTTAAAAAGTTTCTTTATCTCTTAATGACATACTGGCTTTGATGGCATAAAGAACAACTTCTATTCATTATAATTTACACAGGTAACAACTAAGTGTCCATCAATGGATGAACAAATAAAGAAGTGGTTACACGTGCACACACACACACAGGAACATTATTCAGCCATAAAAAAGAGGAAATCCTACCAGCTGCAACAACATGTATGAATCTTGAAGGAATTATGCTAAGTGAGGTAAGTCAGAGAAAGAAAAGACTGTATGATCTCATCTATATGTAGAATCTAAAAAACAAACTCACCAAAAGAGATCAGATTTGCGATTATCAGAGGAGGAGTGTGGGAGGAAGGAGAAACAGATGAAGGTGGTCAAAAGGTACAAACTTCCAGTTACAAGATGAGTAAGTACTAAGGATGTAATGTACAACACGGTGACTATAGTTAACACCACTGTATGATATAAAGGAAAGTTGCTAAGAGAGTAAATCCTAGGAGTCCTTATCACAAGGAGAACTTTTTTCCCTTTTTCTTCTTTATTTTCTTTTTATTGTATCTATATGAGATGAAGGATGTTAGCTGAATTTACTGTGGTAATCATTTCACAACATATGTAAATCAAACCAACACACTGTCTGTGTTAAAATTATACAGTGATGTATGTCAGTTACCTCTCAATAAAACTGGAAAACATATAAAAAAACTTAAACCACGTATTAGTTCTAGTCTCACTTGAAGTTCCAATAAGACAGAAAGGGACAACTGGAGAGCTAGAGTGTCTTTATTTGGGGGATTGTCTGGTGAGGGCATATCGGAGGTTATCCTCTTAGCTCTTTCCCGAGAGTAAATGGGCAACAGGTAAAACATTCTTCTCTCCATGGTCAAGGAATGCCTGTTTTCCACGTTCCATTATCCATTTATAATGGCTGGAATCTGGCTTTACCATAATTTCTCCCATTATTTGTAATTTAACATCAGAATGCATACAAACCACCCAACTCTCCTTATATCACCTAACTAAATGCACTCTCCCCAAGAGTGAAGAAAAATAGTCAAATCACAGATATTTATGATATACATGTCTTTGCTGAATAGAGAGCATTTGGATATATAAAATCTTTAGGATAGATTAATGGGATCATACAGCATTATCAATGGAGTTGTAGAAAAAAACTGTAACATCATTTGCCTCTTTGTTTATCAAATTCATGGTTTAAAGATAATGGTGTGAATTAACTAATAGTTTTTGCCTATATGTGTGTTATTATATATTTATATAAATATACTTATATATATTATATATATGTTTTAAGTTACTAATATTTTGTGAGGATGTTTGTTGTTGTCAGTGCAATGCTAAATATTTTGGATACATTTCAAAGTCTCTTTTACTGTGAATACAATGAAAGCTGTTTTTATAAGCCTATATTCTAAACCTTTAAATGGATGACCACAAAAGGACTCATTCCTATGCATGTAAGAATATCTTTGTTTGATGATGCATGCAGTGTAACAATGTTATGCTTATTAACTCTTAATCATTAAGGTATTTGTATTACAGAAGTACAATTCCCATTCAAAATTTATGTTGAAATAAAAAGTGAACAATCATTAATATGTAAACTATTTGTCTAACAGACAAGGTGATTTTTTCCCCCTTTACATATGATAGAATATTAGCATTTAAACTGGCCACATTTAATTCACTGAAACTTCTCTTAATGGATGTTTCTAAGTTCCAATGTTTTCAGTATCTTTAAAATACCTGGGGAAAATGTAATAAATAGTCCATGTAAATGATGATACAGGAAAAAGTTTACCCCACTCACCTGTCTGTTACGTTCATCCATAATCCTCGTAATCTGAATCTTTTTTCTCCCCATAGTCCCCGTTTTTCTTCTCTCTCTCGTCCCTGAAATTATGTATTTTTTCCTTCCTTTTCTTTCTCTTTCCTGTTTCCTCCAAACAAATCTCCTTCTTCAGCACTTGCACTGCTCAGTTCCCAAATTCCTGCATTCGTTCCTGCTGGAAGAAAGAGAAAAATTAAATACCACTTTAACAGAAAGGCGGTTTCATAAGAGCGATCATATTCTAATTTAAAAAGAGAACTATATGAAAGTAAGCCAATCAAATGAATGAAAATAAGTACTAAAAGCACATGGTCTATCCCATGTAGGAGGATATTAAAAAGGAACGGTTTGTTTTTATAATCAAAATAATCTCATAAGTAATTTAACAAGTCATTTAAATGGCAAAAACTATACTTCAAAGCCCAACACTTGAAATGTATCTTTTGCAATGAGTTCCTTAATATTTTTTAATGAAATTAGGTGACTATTTTCACCCTTCCATTATGAAAAATTACCTAAATCAGAGAGTTAATGAACCTTTATGTACCTGTGTATGCTAAGTAGGGCAGCTAATTCATTTCTGAAGGGAAAACAATCTCCTGTTTTGACAGCAGAGGTGATAACGTCCCCTCGTTATGCAAATAGGATGGACTATTATGAAAGCGCTATTTGATATATGTAAATGTCAACTAATTTAAATCTAAATCCTTTAATCTTATTTTTAAAAAGTCACTGCTCTGAGAACACTGTAAAAATACATTGGGATATTTAATCTTACATAATAAGCAGCTATCAGCAGTGAGATCTCCTTTTCCTCTTGAAAGCCCTTAAGCTATATCTTGAATACAAGAATCAAAAAAGATAATCATTCACAGAAAAGAAATGGTGCAAAAAATTAGAGTATTACTCCATTTATAATGATACTTTTTTATAACTACACTTTTTATAATAAGCCATCAGTTCTCTAAATTTAAATATTTTAAAAAAGACATATCATATATCTTTGGGGAGTAACATACAAAATTACAGAAGCCCAGTATTATATACTAGATACCTTTAGGTCATGAATTAAAATTAAAGAAATGATCATCAATAATATAAAATAAACCCAGAGAACCCGAGTATTAAAAGTATATATTTTACTTTGTTTTAAATTATATCTGAAAACATTTGAACATAATGAAAATGAATTGCCGTGAAATGTGGAAGTTAACAAGAAAGCATTCCACATTGGATTCTAGATTTGCAAGCAACCGCTTCAATTATTCTATCCAGTTTTATGTCAAAGAATGCAACTACTTTATACATTGCTCAGAATTTCCCTGTTTTAGCTGGTGTCTGATGAGGGACCTGAGAAATTCCCACATGTATTATGTAATGCTAAGCCAATGTCCTGGCTATTTAATAGATTATTTGGCTCTAAATCAAAGTTATTGGAACAGGAAAGCTGTTACACACTTGGTCTGATCATCTGCTGTCTTTTAATTTCTTTAATTTAATTTCTAAATTCTTTATCACCTTGAGTAAATTTCTTTAAATTAAAATTTTCTGTGATTATCTAATTGCAGAAGCTATTATGATATAATTAGTTCTGGTGGATTAAGCGCTGCTTAAATACTAAGACCATCCATTCTCTTTTGCCCAATGCCTTTCTATGAAACTGCAGCTCAGTTGTGCCCTTGGGAATACTATATATGTTGAGTAACACCATGACCACACAGTGCTCATCAAAAATTACTACTCAGCGGCAATTTTAAATGTTGGAAGTAGTTCAAAAGTTTTAAAGAGTTATATAAATAACACACATTTGACAAATACACATGAAAAAATTAGCTATAATAAAACATTAAAATCACATTAAAATATGAAACCTTCACAAAGCACAGTTGCATTATATATTCACCGTTGCCACACACTGTCCATCTATTTATTTTTAGAAACCGTCTTAAATATCACTCAACTGGGCAACTTTCCTGTGTTTCCTATAGTCTTACCTTAGAAGCAAGCGGCCCGTTAGAATGGCATTTCCCATGCATGTGCAAGACCCCACAGAGACAGACAGGCTTCCTCTATCACAAAAAAGCCAACCCATGAATCCACAAACGCATATGGGACAATTTCCTTTCTTTTCATTTGGCTGAGGCCGATGGCACTATCGGCTTACAGGACTATGCCTGCCTAAGCGCTTATTCACTTTAAGGTGGAAGGTCAGGGTGAACAGATTAGAGTGTGGTGACAAGGCGGGGAAGACAAGAACTTCGACAGATCCTGGTTTCAAAATACAAATAACCAAACAAGCAGAGAAGCATCCCTCGAGAAAAGTCTCTTCAGAAAGGCAGAGAGAGAACTCATGAGCCAAACTTAGAAGAGTTCCTACACCTCACCACCCCGTATTTCACAACTTTGAAAGGAGAAACACTTTTAAAAAGAGCAGAGCAAGGATTTTTTTTTTTTTAATTCTTGAAGAAAAAAGGATGGGAAATATTTTGCCTGAAAAAATTTGTATGCGTATATCAAATATATATATAATATAGTCGGTGAAAATACCATTCGATGTATTTTCCTTCTTGAAATATGCAAGCTAATGTAAAGAGAAACAAGTTTAAATTTCAGTAAAATTAAAATATTTTCTTGTTTTCCATAAAAATGAATATTTCTTGAAGTGTTGCCTTCTGAGCATTTTTAAAATGCAAAACTTGATATTATTATGTACATATGCAGACTACTACGCGGTGATGATGCGATTTTTTCATGAAGTAAAATATGTCACGAAACGTGCCTTAGAACATTTGATTATGGATCACCACATTTCAAGGCTGTCAGTAAAAACTCAAAGAGTTTAGGAAGGTCAATAATAGCTCAGTAGTTGTTTTCTTGGCGTAACTACTTCTCTAAGCTGATTTTTATGCCAAAATTATATTGTAAGGTCAGTTTCAAGTATTAATTTGTAGGAGGCCTAGAAAAGCTGAAAAGGAGATTAAAAAACTTCAGTAGTTTTTAAAATTGTTTTGTATGTACATGAAGAAAAGAATAGGTAAACTACATGTAGTAGAATTTCAAGTTATGCTGAGAACTTTCATTATGTACAATCAACCATAAGCTTAAAATAATTCCAGCAGCCTTGCCGCTACTTCTTTCCACATGAAAGCAGCATTCTTGGAAAATGACAGAGCTACACAGAAACAATCAGTAATTAAAAAAAGAAAAAGAAATGCTCTACCACAGTTACACTCTATAGAGTTACAGTCTTCTGCATTTTTTTTTTCTTTTTGTCAACCTAAATATAAGAAAAATAAAATCAGGCTGCTTACTAAAAAGGGGAACTTCATTATGGAAGGCTTCTGTTCACTTTGAGTTTGGCATAAGCAGACAGATGAAGGCAAAGTGGTTTTGAGACCCAAGTTGAGAAGAATTTCTTGTGGACAGATGCTAAAGATCCTTCTCCTACCCCAGCTCTCTCTTTACAAACAAGTTCCCTTGAGTGACACACACCTCCTCCCCCCTTCCCTGCCTCACTCTTTCTTGCTCCCTTCCTTTCTCTCTCTCCCTCCCTCCCTCCCTCCCACAAATCCCTCCCTGTAACACAGAAGAATCTTGACAGAATGGCAGGAAACACGCACAGACTGGTCAGGGAAGGATATGATGTCAGCAACCACGAACAATAAAAGGTGTAAAGGTGCTTCCTTCCCTAAACTGTTCCAGAAGTGTAAAATGGGAACCAAAACTCTTCACTTCCTTCTCTGAGCAGAACTGTCTGAGTGTGCTGTGCTGCACACCATACACAGAGAGGCCTTTGAGAGGTTCAGATAAGGGACAATGACAGAAAATCCAGACATGGGGACTCAATTTTTTATTTCTATTTTTAAAACACCTAAGAAAAATCCATTTCAGTTCTAGGTTAATATTTTGTTAAGATTTCTTTAAGAAATAAAAATAAGAAGACAAACAAGTTCCCTTTGGTGAAGTAGGAGATATATCACAATTACCTTTGTCATGCCTCACAGAAATCATCTGACATAGCTAATGCAGCCATATAATCTTAATTTACCCTTTGAGGCAAAGGAAGAATTCTATACAGGCAAAGAGCCAAGTGGATAAATTTTATTTTTAGTTAAAAAAAAAAAAGAATTACAAAAACTGTTCCCCAAAAATATATCAGTGTTTGTAAGACACACTGGTTACATCTTTGTACCCATAGTTTAAAAAAAGATGCAGTGGGTGGGGAGAATAGATGCCTATGTTATTGAAGGTCTCAAAGTTCTTTTAAAAAATTCAGAGTAAGAACTAAAGAAACTAACAAAAACTTTCAGTATATAGTGAAACTATTTATTTCAATCTCATCACTATTAGGTTCCTTCTAACATGGAAATGGCAGTCTACCATAAGGTTTCTGTAGGAAGAAAACCACATATCAAGTGGATCTGAGTCATCTTCAGATTTCAATCATCTTCCCACAACACTTTGATTTAGAAATTAAACACAACCTTCAGTTATGTGTTTTGATCATAGAGTGAGACTGCCATGCCACATTAAAAGATGTGGGAAGAAATTAATTCTCTTCTGCTAAACTTATCTTCGCAAAGCATGTATTTTGCTACGATAAGCACAATGCAGTTGCTTAAATAAAAACAGCCCATGAATGATGATAAAACATTAAAATATGTGATGTCAATTTGCAAAGAAAGATTTCTGGTTTTCTTTTACTCATATTAGCAAATAACTTCTTCACTGATTCACATTTTGACAACACTAGCATCTTCATATAATGTTTTAAAAAAACTCAAGGCTCAAAACCAAGCATACTATATCACATAGGAAATTATACTGTTAACTAAATACAAACTGGATTCTTAGTAAGGTACAAAAATGATCTTAAGCCCAGTTGCTGCAAGCTTGTATTACTAATTCAGATAATTAAATGATTCAATATTATTTTAAGTGGAAAACTCAGCTCATTCTGGTACATCTAGATACATTTAACTTTCTACCTCACGACATATTTGAAAGACATATGAGACATGTAATTATATTTTGGTTGAAAGGAACAAGTAGAACTTTTACTTTTTTTTTTTTTTTTTTGCTTAAGAGGTATTTGAACTTCAAAAGATATAATTATTGTTATTCTTATTGTTATTCAACTACATGATGTCTTACAAATTGGGGAATATTTCCTTGGTCCTGAAAGTCATTCTTCCACTTCCCTTTAAGTTTATGATATTCTATATAACATGTTATATTACCCTAGCTATGAATGCAAGCTGAGTTCATTTTAGATACAGAGTCAAAACTTACCCTCCTAAAGATAATAAAAAAACAACCATTATTTACCACTGGATAAGTACCATCATGCCAAACACAAAGTTATTTTCTCAATTTATTTCAATTTAGTGTCAATATGATGGACTTTTGAGTTATCTTCAAGTCTCTGTAACATAGTATCACACACAAATAATAATGTCATTTGTCCGTTCCTCACACATGTCATGCTCCTTCCTACTACAGGGCCTTTGCATGTGCAATCCCCTCTGCCTGGAATGCTCCTCCTTCCCCTCTGTGCCTCCTTAACTTCTTCCTTTCCTTTCCATCTCAGCTCTAATTTCACCTCCTCAGGAAGCACTCCATCTTTTCATGGCTGCAACAAATCCCCCATGAGGACTCATAGCACCATGTCTTCCTTTGCAGCTCTTGTCATAATTGAAATTGTCTGTCTTCTTCAACATCTGTGAGCCAACTCCGTTTTGTCTTGCTTTCATATTCCCACTTTCGTATTCCCAGTATCTAACCCACTACCAGGCCTATAGTAGGAGCTAATAACTTAGTTGATAAATGATTTTAAGATTTTCATCTCTCAGATGTGTATTTTCTTCAGTTTTTATTTTTAATGACTACTCCTGAGAACATTTTCTTACATATAGAAGCAGGCCGATAACCTCACTTAATCTTTTGTCATATTTATATAGCATCTCATATATGGAAGAAGTGTAATTTATACTGAGGAGTGGAAGTAGAAAGAATTTTCGAGTTAGGAAGCTCAGGTCTGAACTTCAGCTTGTTGCTGCCTACAATGAGTTGGGAACAAACTTTTTTAAAAAAGATTTTATCTATTTATTTAACAGAGAAAGAGTGCACAAGTAGGATGAGGTGGGAAAGGGAGAAGTAAGCTCCCTGCCTGGTGCTGGGCTCGATCCTAGGACCCTGGGATCATGACCTGAGCTGAAGGCAGATGGTTAACCAACTGAGCCACCCAGGCACCCCCAGACTTTTCTTTTTTAAGATTTATTTATTTATTTATTTATTTGAGAGAGAGAGAGAGAGAGAGCAAGCAAGCATGATTGGGGGAGGGACAGAAGGAGAGGAAAAGAATCTCAAGCAGACTTCCTGCTGAGCATGGAGCCCAACATGGGGCTTGATCCCATGACCGTGAGATCAAGACCTGAGCAGAAATCAAGAGTAGGATACTTAACGGAGTGAGCCATCCAGGAATGCCAGGAACAAAATTCCTGGTGTGCAGGGGATGGCTATGGTCATTCAAGGTGGTATTATATGTGAAGTGGGTCCATAGCAGTACTGGGAGCATGACCTACGACTTGTAAGACTGCTTCAGTTTTGAGACTTAAAATAAAAACCATATTATATCATGAGGCTACCAAGTGAATCATTGTTCTTATATATACCATGAAGATTTGACTTTGCAAAGCTAATGATGAGCAAGTTCTAACAGGTAATGCTTCATTTATTCATTAACAATAATCATTACATGAAGGAAAAATTTACAGTGTTATAAAAATTAAGAAGTTTCTCTTAAGTATCAGTCATGGAAGAGCTTCAGGCTGCAAAAGTAGAAATAACTAGGGAAATATATCAATTTTCCCAATGACCACGGCTGCTGAAAACTCTACATTAATGCTTCTAGTCCTACTTTAATATCTTTCCCCAAGGACAAAAGGAGATGAAATGTATGTCAGAAATATAATAAGGCTAAAAAGGAACTCGTTTTGAAAACCTCTGCAATTAATTTAATAAGTGGGCCTAACCTGCTATTATCATTGACATAAATCATTTTATTTACACAGTTCTGGAAATTAGGAGGCACCCACCTTTAAACAACTGTGTTGCATTATAAACAATTTACTAAACATGGGGGAAGCACAGCTTCCCTGTCATGGTTTTTCATGGTATATTTTGTCTTGGACATTTTTTTCACAAGGCAGCTTAAACAGCATTCTCCATTCCCCATGCCAAAATAAACTCCAAATGGTCTAAATATGTCCAGAGCCTTGTGTTATTGAACCACAGTTCAATAACATTTTTTTTGTCTTTCCTCATCATAATAAGTAATTAATCCAGGGTTCTACCATGCCTTTGTTTTCCCGATTTTTCACAACAGTACAGCCATCATG